AATCAGTACTTCCACTTTTACCAGAGTATTTTTTAACACAAGTATCTGTACTTTTACTCAAGTACGGAAAGTGAGTACTTTTGCCATCTCTGCTTACTTATAAAGCATTAATTCAGACCTCAGAGCTGCAAGATTACAAGGTGTCTAAGAAAGAGGAGTACTTATCATATTGGGGAGTGTTTGGAATAAAAATAATCCTTCTCATAACATTATAGACTTTTGTTCTCAGTTTACTCATAACATTTTACTATTTCTCCAACTGTCTGTAATTGATTTGATTAACTGCTCTGACAACCTTCACAGCCTTTCTGCTGGGTTTTAATTTAGTGAGAGGAACATGTCTGGCACCTACCCCTACTTTAACATCTTAAAGTGTTACAACAGAATAAGGCATCCCAGCTGGCTGGACATTGAATACAAGTGATTCACAACATAGGCTGCTGTGATTGTCTTGTTCTCTTTTTGCAAAGAAGGATAAAATGCAGACAAAGTGAATTACCATCTCCTTTATTTTACCGGTTGCATAGTTGACTCTTTTTTCCCCCACAACACTGTTCATTTCAAGCTAGTACTGCTAAACCGAACATCAGTCTTGAGGTTTGGCTTCTCAGCCTCCTTGTTTGTTTAGATCCACCACTGTATCTCTAACAGTTTGGGTTATGTTCTATTATTCTCATTCATTAGATTTGATGATTAGTGTTTTCTGTTCCCTACACTTGTTTCCCAGCTGAAATCATTTATCCTGTCCTCAGTGAGTAATCACCTTGTTAAGAACATGTGAATGTATGTTCTTACCTCTTTTTTTTAATCATACCAAGTTTTGTTTTTGTCTGACTGACCTCTAGCTCACTGATTCTTTAACAAAAAACTATTGACTTAAAAACATTCAAATGAAAGGTTTAATTTGATTTAGGGCCGTAAGTACCATTGAGGACACAGTGGTGGAGAGAGAGCAGCTTAAGTTGTTGACGGTGAGAAAAAGACTGCGTTTCCATGAGGAAAGATTTCAGCTTAGACGGCAAAGGAACATTAAAACAACGTGTATATATAACTCCATCGGTACCGACTGTCAGTTGTTTTTCACCAACTGAATTAAAGATCCATTATGCAATTAATATGTTAGCTACGTCTTTGCCTGAAAATGAAATGTTTATTCAGCTCTGATTTAAGTGTTGGATGTTGAACCTTTTTTGGCCTTTTGGAAGCCAAATACAAACTTTATTAAAATCAGCTCCCTGACTATTAAGAACTTTATTGCAACAGTAGATGGGATTCTGAATCAGAACAGAAATCTGTTGATGCTCCCTACCTGTACATAAGGCATGCTTTGTCTGTCCTCAAAGCTGACCCGATCCTTCCCTTGGAGTACCTGGTCAATTTCCTTCTGACACCGTTCTAAGGAATCCAATTTAGCAGCATGTTACTGTACAATCCAAACCATAATTAAATCACCTATACATGGCAAGGAGCATAATAATTTGCCAGATGATCAAGGAAATAGAATTAAAGTATCAGATGATTAAATAATTCAAAGTCAAACTTTGTCTTCTTTTCTAATGATCTAACCAACCTCTTGCATACACTAAAACACTTCCAGTGTACAATAATTAAAACTGTGGTTATAAGATAAAAAAATAAAAAAAAACTCTCCACATTACATTTTCTCAGATTGGATCTCAATTAAAAAGATGTGTTCTGTCTCCCAAAGGGCTCTAGGTAAACTCCACCCTTGACATACCCTTACTCTTAAGCCATGATTTGTCATTTCTTCTTAATCATTCATTTTTCTTACCCCTGAGCAAACGTTTCTTTAACAGTAGCTGACCCCTTTGCTCTTTTTATTTCCTCCAATTAAATGCAGAAAAGAGAGTAGCGACAGGATTTGTTACCCACAAATGTGATGTTAGAAATTGGTATTTTAAAAAGCAAGATCATAAATAGTATAAAGACTACACTTCCTGCCAAAAAGCCCAGTGGTCATCATGAAATCATTTCTTAACTTTAACAACCAAGAATAGACTGTTATTAATCAGTCTTAACCAATTTTTTAAAACATTTCCAATAACAAGTGACAAATATAGAGAAACAAATAAAATGAAAATCCTATCTGTAATTTTATTTTCAGTGGGTTAGATTATTGTATAGACAACTCCAGCTTTAAATATACTTTCAAAAGTTGCTGGATCTGATAATCACAAGTGAAACATGGCAAAAACTAATCTAAATTCTCATGGGTACCTTGTATGTGTGGGTAGTTCATCAGGTAAAGAAACCCCATCAGCAGGGTATTGGAGGTGGTGTCTGTCCCAGCAAAGTGAAGATCTAGTATGTAGTTTGTAAGAAATTCCTCTGAAAACGAAGAACCATCATTGCCTCTCTGCAAAAAAGGAGAGTGAACAATGTAGGATAAAGTAATACCAGATGAAAGTTTTGGTTGACTTGAATAATACTGTAAAAATGCTCCAATGTGAGTACCCAACATTCAAATTCTTCAGTGATTTTACATTATTTTGGAATATAGACGAATAAAGATGCCCGATGAGAAAACTACATTATTTGAATAGGGAACAATCCAACTAAACTGAATTCATTCTCACCACCATCAAACAAGTCTTATCACTGGTAGATCTAAAAAAATAAAAGGTATAAAAATAATACTTTTTTCTGCATTGCAAAAAATACTAAATGTGCTCTATAATATCAATATTGTAGATATTGATTATTGACCCACATAGTTCAGCTAGACTAAAAGGTTTCAAAATTGTAAGAGTTGGTCCTCATCACCTTATCCACTTCATCCAGATAGCAGTCTAAAAAGTCTCGAGGCTCTCCAGGAACTCTGGTCTTCTTGTGCTCAGTCACCAATTCCATGACAATATTCTGACAAGTCTAAAGAAAAAAATATATATTTATATGTGTATATGCAGTGAATGAATTACGTATTGAACACGCCACAATTTTCCTCAGTAAATGTTTACGTAGCTAGATGTGCTACTGACATGGCATTTTCACCAGATGACTGTAACTTTCCATACAGTCCACTTACACAAAGAAATCAAACTATATGTCCAGAAATTAAGTTATGTGTAATAATGTGGATAGGCACAGTTATTGAACAAATAAAAAAAGGGAGGTGCAAAAAAGCATGGAAAGCCAAGACACCAGCCGCAATCCCTCATAAATTAGAAAGTAATCCTGCCCCTTGTCCAATTAATATCAGTGTGTTTGTTGGGATCTGGAGGCTTGTCCACTTTCTCCACCAGAGGGCGCCGGAGATCTTCCTTCCTGAGGGCATGAGCTGCTCCTACACACATGTTTCCTGTCTCCTCATTAAGAAGACCTATTTAAGGAGGAGTGTCATGATGTAGCAGGTTTACTAGCCCAGATGCAGAACTCAACAGAACACACAGGCAGGAATAAAGTCCAATATTTATTGGCAAACACAGGTCTCCCTCCTGGGAGGCAGAGAAGACAGAGCAGGTCAGGTTCAGGTTTACAGATGAACAGGTTGACAGACTTACAGGTTCACAGGTTTCTAACAGGCAGGGTGGCTCAGGTTTGCTTCCATAGCAAGGACAGCAATCCAGCTCAGAGGGGAGCTTTCACTCAGCCTAAATAGGGAGAGATCCTTAATCAGTAGATAGGGATCAGCTGTTTCTGATGGGCGCCGGCTCTCAGGAGAAGATCCACGGCGCCCTCTGGTGGGCAAACCTCTGGATCCCAACAAGGAGGAGGCTGACACTTCCCTGCCAGAGTGTTTGCCAGTAATGGTTAGCAAACCTGAGCCAGCCTGCCTGATCTAGACCCTGATTTTGTGAACCTGTCTAACCCTGCAAAGACGTCCAGCTCCCACCTACTCACCAGGGCAGCAGGTTTGGCTCTCCACCAGAGATATACCGTTGAAATCCATGTCTAAAAAGTTGTCCCCCCGTTACATTGGCCCTTACAAGATCGAATCTGTCATTAATCCCTCTGCTGTCCGCCTGCATCTCCCTCCTTCTCTCCAGATCCATCCCACTTTCCACGTTTATCAGATCAAACCCGTCCTGACCAGTCCGCTTTGCCCTCCTCCAGACTCCCCTCCTCCCCCCCGTGACATTGATGGGCATCCTGCTTACACCGTTCGCCGGATCGTAGACTCCCGTCGTCGGGGCGACTGGGAAGGCAACCTGGATTCCTGGTTCATTTATTTTAGACCCTGCTTTAATTTCTGACTACCATTCCTCTCTACCCTCTTGTTCCTTTGGACCGGCAGGTGGCGGTCCAAAGGAACAAGAGGGTACTGTTGGGATCTGGAGGCTTGTCCACTTTCTCCACCAGAGGGCGCCGGAGATCTTCCTTCCTGAGGGCATGAGCTGCTCCTACACACCTGTTTCCTGTCTCCTCATTAAGAAGACCTATTTAAGGAGGAGGAGGCTGACACTTCCCTGCCAGAGTGTCTGACCCTGTTTCTCCCTGCCTCACAGATGCCTGGAAACCTGAAACTCTGGAGATAGAAATCTCTGCCTGGAATCTGCCTGCCTGCACTCAGTCTCAGTCTCTGCCTCTGCCCTCAGCCCTCTGCCTGCCGACTAGCCTCTGGACTCACAAGGTTCCCCCCCTGCTGACCAGAATCCTCTCTGAGCAGGTATTTATTCCCGCCATCAGTAACTGCAAATTTCCTGGATCCATTCTAACTGCTCTGTCCTCAGTGGTGTTTCTCCCGTGACCAGACCTCAGAACCCAGAACCCGTGCATCAATTCCTTTGTAAATATTGTAAATAAATCATTGAACTTTTTCCCTGTCTTAAGAGTGTTTTTCTGCATGTGGGTTAGACGCCTTGAACCCAACATGACAGTGTTGAGTCCCAAATGATGGCATTTAAAAAGGTGTCTCTGTTATCACACAAACATCTCACGGTGGGTAAAAGTAAAGAGCTTTCTCAACCTTGTTGCAATTAAGGCATTGGTTACAGAAGGATTTCTGAATGCTCCAGTGAGCACTGTTGGGGCCATAAAAGTGAAAAGAACATAATTTCACCATAAACCGACCACAACCAGGTGCTCTTCGCAAGATTAATGACAGAGGAGGGAAACGAATTATCAGAAGAATTGTCCAAAAGCCAAATACAGGTCCTTCTCAAAATATTAGCATATTGTGATGAAGTTAATTATTTTCCATAATGTAATGATAAAACCTGAACATTCATATATTTTAGATTCATTGCACACTAAATGAAATATTTCAGGTCTTATTGTCTTAATACGGATGATTTTGGCATACAGCTCATGAAAACCCAAAATTCCTATATTACAAAATAAGCATATTTCGTCCAACCAATAAGAGAAAAGTATTTTTGAGACAAAAAAGTATCAATGTACAGTATGCACTCAATACTTGGTCGGGAATCCTTTTGCGTCTCTCAACTTTCTGTTCAAAATATCCCACAGATTCTCTATGGGGTTCAGGTCAGGAGAGTTGGCAGGCCAATTCAGCACAGTGATACCATGGTCAGTAAACCATTTACCAGTGGTTTGGCATTGTGAGCAAGTGCCAGGTCATGCTAAAAAATTTAATCTTAATCTCCATAATGTTTTTCAGCAGATGGAAGCATGAAGTGCTCCAAAATCTCCTGATAGCTGCATTGACCCTGCCCTTGATAAAACACAGTGGACCAACAGCAGCAGCTGACATGGCACCTCAGAACATCACTGACTGTAGGTACTTGACACTGGACTTCTGGCATTTTGGCATTTCCTTCTCCCCAGTCTTCCTCTAGACTCTGGCACCTTGATTTCCAAATGACCTGCAAAACTGAGTAACAGTCCAGTGCTGCTTCTCTGTTGCCCAGGTCAGGCACCTTTGCCGCTGTTTCTGGTTCAAAAGTGGCTTGACCTGGGAAATGTGGCACCTGTAGCCCATATCCTGCACACGCCTGTGCACGGTGGCCCTGGATGTTTCTACTCCAGAGTCAGTCCACTGCTTCCGCAGGTCCTCCAAGGTCTGGAATCGGCCCTTCTCCACAATCTTCCTCAGGGTCCGGTCACCTCTTTTCATTGTGCAGCATTTTCTGCCACACTTTTTCCTTCCCACAGACTTCCCACTGAGGTGCCTTGACACAGCACCCTGGAAACTGCCTATTTGTTTAGAAATATCTTTCTGTGTCATATCCTCTTGCTTGAGGGTGTCAATGATGGCCTTCTGCACAGCAGTCAGGTTGGCAGTCTTACCCATGTTTGGAGTTTTGAGTGATGAACCAGGCTGGGAGTTTGAAAGGCCTCAGGTATCTTTGGCAGGTGTTTAGAGTTAATTTTTTTGGATTCAGATGATTAGGTGCATAGATAATTCATAGACCTTTTTCATGATATGCTAATCTTGTGAGATAGGAATTTTGGGTTTTCATGAGCTGTATGCCAAAATCATCTACCAGTAAATTGAGACAACAAAAGACCTAAATTATTTCAGTTGATGTGAAATGAATTTAAAATATATGAATGTTCAAGTTTTATCATTACACTATGGAAAATAATGAACTTTATCACAATATGTTAATATTTTGAGAAGGACCTGTATCACTTGTGGAGAGCTTCAGAAAGGCCACGAATTAGTACAATCTTTTAAAAGAAAACAATAAACAACGCACTCAACTGCCATAGTCTGTATGCATGCCCACCACTCAAGACTCCATTGCTGAAAAGACACGTTGAAGCTTTAGTTATAAAGTTAGTTTGCTGCATAACATAGACCATCCTGTAAAATACTCGGAACATATATTCTTGTCAGATGAGAGCAAAATTGAACTATTTGGATACCATAATACACATCATGTTTCGAGGTCAAATGGCACATCACGTCACGCCAAAAACACCATACCAGCAGTGAAATTTGGAGGTGGGGTCATTATGGCGTAGGGCTGTTTTTTTCTGTATATAGTACTAGCAAACTTCAAATGATTGAAGGATGAATGGAGACATTCTTTATTAAAAAAAAATGCATCTGCTGCCATCTACCAGGATGATGAAGATGAAACCTGGGTGGCAATTTCAGCAAACAATGACCCAAAAGATACAGCCAAGGAAACTCAATTGGTTTCAGAAAAGAAAAAAAAGCTGCTAGAATGGCACAGTCAATCACCTGACATGAATCCAATAGAAACACTATGGAAAGAGCAAAAGATCAGAGACAAAACCTTCAAAATTTGAAGACTGTTTATTTGAGTGGAAGAATGGGCCAAAATCACACCTGAGAAAAACATGAGACTAAATTCTCCATACAAGAGGCATCTTGAAGATTTCAGTAAATGTGTTCAATACTTTTTTCCTGTGTAATTTCACTTTATTACAAATTACTTCATTTCTGGACATCTACAGTATGGTTTGATTCTTCTGGAAGTGTGGAATGCATGAATAGTTACCGAGATCTGGTAAAAATGTGTGTTAATAGCACCTTTAGAAATATATATTTAGTGATTAAAATTTGTATGTTTTTTTTTTTTTTTTATTTTATTTAACCCACTGTATATGAAAACAAAAAAAAGAGAATTCTGCCTTTTAGATAAAATGTTTGAAATAATTAAGTCCATACATTTAATGGATGTTACATTCATTAGTTCATCAAATGAATCATTGTGTTTTTTCAATCAAAAAATGATATTTTGACCTTTTTAATAGAGTAGAGCAGGTATATGGCCCTGAGGGAATAGTGACAGTTGTAACAATAGAAAATGAAAATCATTTGGGATTATAGATCTATAGATGGAGCAGACTAACTGCTCAAATAATAAATAACATGGAAATTGAAATGAAAATAAACTAATAAAGGGTCTACTTGGTTAAAGTTTTTTCCTTTTACCTTATAATTTTTAAAGGCTCTTCTGAAGGGCAGTGGCAGGCTGCGAGTTATCGGAAGAGAGTCGTACACCTGTAAACAGAAGTCATTAGTTTATTCTCATGACCTGCAAAGTCTGGTTTATTTTACATCAGCTGCTGTGAACAAATTTTATCTTGGGGTACAGGCCTCTCAACCTAAGGAGGAAACCTATCTCTAGCTTAACGGCAGTGAGAAGGACAGAGAACGGGGTCTAAAGACCCTGCTATAAATGGTTTGGACCCTTCTTATGCCAGCCCTACTTGTCTTAAGATAAGAATTAAAATATAAACAGATAAAAACATATTTCTCCTTTAACAATTTACAACAATACAATTACTGTAACCAATGTTCCAACCCTAACAACCTCAGTGGCAGATAGGGAAGGATCTTCGCCAAATGTTAGATTTGTCCTTTTGACGTTACATTGTGACAGGCTATTAGCCACTAGCTTGTTAGCATCATGGATACATTTACTTTTATTTTTCCAAAAAGAGTGAATTGAAAATGGAAGTTCAAGTTCTAGCTTTGTGCAAATAAAGTATTTTTACAATTTTTTTAAAATGGACACATAGAAGGCCTATAAGTGATCACCTGAGTCTGAAAGCCCATTTCAGAAAGATGTTAGACAAATAAAGCTTTGTTTTAGCAGAAGATATCTGTTAGAAGGACTGAATCTTAAACTTAATGTAGAACCATTTCTTTGTCATGGGAAGAGGGATTGTATGAAGTGTATAATTTCGTGCTTTCAGATCAGAAATGGAATTGAACACACCATAGCCCATGGTCCATTGGCCATCTTGGCAATCTCTGTGAAGCACCGGACAATAACTTTCATCGACTCATCATTGTACTCATAGCGTGCGCCAAACAGAACTTGGCAGATGATGTTGGAGGCTGCGTTATGGAACATAACCTGTGGACTCAGTATGCCACCTGTAGGAATCACAATAGTCCAAAACAGAGTCATCAGTTTTCAATAAGAATGTGAATTTATAAGACATGATCTTTGTTTGTTTGGACAACAAAAAAATGCAACCCATTCAACACCTACACCAAGAAAAACACAGTATTCAATAATGCTCTGAGCACACACTCATTTTGGTTTTATATGTACACATTAACAAATTTAAACAAAGTTGAAGTTGAGAGAACAACAACTCTCGTTTTGAGTAGATCATCTCTGATCAGGAAGTCCTAGAATACATGTTCCAGGAATTAAATACAACACAAACTCTAGTGGACCCACAGATGAAATACCTTGGCTCTGTTCTAGTGTTTTTATTGTGTATTGAATCTCCTCATTAATCCTGTCTTCCATTGACTTTTTTCCAAGACCAAAGTTCCTTAGGGTCATCAGAGCAAAGCGTCGATGTTCTTTCCATGTCGAGCCGTAATCTGCCAGAACCACTCCTGAAACAAATGTGGGAACACAGCAAAAATAGTTCAACACACAAAATATGCTTTCTATACATAAATGTCTTATAAGAGATCAAAGAACATACAGGACAGAATAAAAACAGTTACAATGGCTCTCCATTCACAAGGTGGTGATATTGTCACTTGGGTTTTTCTTAATGTGCTCTTGCTTTTGTGTTTCAAGTTGTGCAGATGTTTGTCGAAAAGGCTTAATAAAGTCAACTTTTTAGTGAATGCCCTTGTGTGAATGCACCTTTAGGCCTGTATTTTGTTATTTCTGTGTTAAGCATTTTGTGCTTCTCAGTCTTCCTGTGCTTATTTTATAGCAGCTGTTGCACAATTACCTAGCTCAGCTAAATCCTGTCATTATCCACCCATCGCTCAGTAAATTAATGCTCTGGTTTCCATTAATAACTGCTGGTTCCTTCTGCAACTGTATGTGCTCCATACTTTGCATGATCATCCAAAAAGTTCCCTGCTCCTCTTTCTCAATTTACTCTGTTCCGGGGTTCTTTTCTGACCAGAAACCTGATATGCTATACAGAACATAGATTTTAAAAGGTTTTCAAATTGTAAATAAAGCAGACATCTGCTTTATGTGTCAGGTAAGTTTATAACTGTCCGAGATTACAATGTGTATTTGTGTCGATAGGTGCTTTCTAAAGAAAATTCGGAACCTGCTTAGTTTCTTAAAGCTCCTGTAAGGAGTCCTGTAAGTACACTGTGGCTCTGTTCGAATTTATGGGCTACGTTTTCCAAGGACATGGTCTATCTGGACTGGGTCCTTTGAAGTCCTTGAAAATGAGGAGACCGAAAGAGTTTAGGCTGTGAATCCAAACAACTCTAGCCTTCAGCGGCTTTTGCCGCCATACGCTCTTTCACCTACCAACCATGACAGTTGACACACAAAGCAGGAAAAGAATGAATACCAAACTTTTTTTTTCCTTTTTTTTTATTTTTTTATTTTTTTTATTGTAATGTGAACAAAGACTTCACTCATGTGAATAGAGACTGGAATAAAGGCGACAACCACCAGGAGCATGAACAAATAAAAGCAAATGTAATTATATAAACCTTAGTCAGTTAAATAACATGCTGCTGTCATTTTGCACATCTCTGATGTTGCTGCCATTTTCAAATTTCAAATATCCATTATAACGTACAATGATAATGATAAAACATCCTCAGTCTGCTTCATCACCTGCAAAGATGTAAAAAGAACAGCACAACCAACGGATGTAGTATAAGAGGTGAAATAAAATAACACCTTTAAACTATCGCTGAAGTAGTATTATTTAATCTGACATGTATACTGTGGTAGCTGAAGATAAGAATATGGGCTTCCTGTATGAAAGTAAATCCCTAAGTACCTGGAACCAAGCACCTGTAGTTGTTTGTGAGAGTTTACTTGTGCATGTAAAGTTTATCCAAAGGAAAAATGCTTAATAGTGGTTGTGAAGAGCCGAAGATGTGCCCCTCCAGAGTACAGAGACGAGTGCCGGGGACCTGAAGCCCTGAACGCCCAAAGGGACCCAAAGAGCAAAGGCCCAGGAGGGGCCAACCCAAGAAATCCGACCCCGCATCAGGGAAGGAGGGGAGACAACCCCGAGGAAAACCCCCAGCCACCGGAACCGGGAGCCGTGGGGAGGAGTCCGTGGGCTCCGCCGGCAGCCAGCCACCCTGAAGTGGCTCCGGCCATGGGCCCCAGGGACCCGAGGCCCCAGGGGTGCCCCACCCCCCGGCGGGAGCCCCGGCCGGGCCCCGGGGAGCCAGACCCGCGGAGCAGCTTCTAAGAATAAGCCAGTACCCGCCCGGGATTCCACCCCCCAAACACCAAGCACACCACCACCACCAGCACCGGCGAGGATGGGGGGAAATGGGCTCTGCACTTAGCAGAGACTTGAGATGTTCTTGGGAGAGGGAGCCGTTCAGACCCCAACCTGACAAATACAAAAAAAAAAATACAGTCTCACACCTTCCCTCCCTAGTGCCCCCACTGGCAACACACAGTCTCTGTGAAGAGGAAGAAAGAGAAAAATATAAAATAAAACGCGGAAGCACATTCACACATAACTCTCACATCCAATAATCTCAGGACCGAGGACCGGACGGCACTGGTGGCCGGTCGCGGGATTACCGGATGACCCGATAGGTGAACCTCAAATCCGGATGGGGACCATGTGATGTAATTCTTACCTTTATTCTCTGTGACATCATTTACAAACATGTCTTGTGGTCTTCCAGCATATTCAGCACCCTTCACCACTATCGCCTCCTTCATGGCCTTTAGCCCACTGACAACCACAGCTGGTTTGGAACCAATAAACAGGCTGTAGACATTTCCATATGAGAGTCTGAGCTGGTAAGAAACAACACATAATAGGCTGGGTCATTTCAACAATAATCTTTAAAAATGTATGGTAAAGGTAATGTATCATGCTGCATTTCAGCTAGAACATCGCATTGAGTTTAGAGATTCTCTGATATTGTTCTGTTCTGCCACGTGCCTAAATAAAAATAAGTAAAATAAATAATGTGTGGAAAAACAGTTTAGCCATTTATTGTGAATTATAACTCTAAATAAATAAATGTGTTCAAACAGTATCAGTGCAGAGGTTCACTTGCAACAAACCAAAGCTTAAGATAGAGGTCTGAAAAAAACTTTGTAGAAGCAGATGGAAAGAAGAACAATCATCTGACAAAAGAAAAACATTTTAATATGAATTTTTTTTTGGAAAGCTCTAAAGCCTGAAAAAAAAATCGGTAAACACCGGCTACATTAATCAGATAGGCTATATCCACCTATCCATTAGCTCATAAAGGAAACGGAAAAGAAAACACCCCTGACTTGTAGACACTGTTGGAAACATGCCAAGTGTTTTGGATGTGTGCTTGGCTAGGTCAGTGTCAGATATCATGTTTTTTTGCAGCAATAAAGATCATTTTTACTGAGCAAAGATAAAAAAACATACAACCTTTGGAAAAAATGTCACTGTCACTGAAACAGTCTGAACAAACTGAAGATTTATCAAGAATGAGTGCAGTGAGCTCTGTACTGCCTTATTATGCAATCGCTCTTTATTCAGCAGAGGAAACACTAATACTGGCACATAAACTTTATGCCTAGTGTTGGGTTACCTCCAGTGGGTTTAGAGAGAGTTACTTAGACTGCAAGGAATCTTATTCTTAAATCTATCAACTACATTGTTGAAGCAGGAAGAAGTTATATTTTCAAACCATACACTATTAACAGTACATGAGTTTGCATGTTGCATTGCGGTAAGAATGTTTCGGATTGCATTTCTGCCTTGGGGTCTTTCTCCATGGAGTTTGTATGGTCCACATGTGCATGTGTGGTTTCTCTCTGGGTACCCCGGCTTCCTCCCATAGTCCAAAAACATGACTGTTAGGGCTTCTCTAAATTGTCCATAGGTATGAGTATATGTGTGCATGGTTGTATGTCTTCATGTGTATCTGTGATATCCTGGGACAGACTTGTGACCTGTCCAGGGTGTACCCTGCCTCTTGCCCATAGACTTCCGGAGATAGGCACCGGCCCCACCACAAAATAAATGGGGGAAGATGGATGGATGGATGGAGTTTGCATAGAAATAAAGCTACCACATTTTTCAAATCAAAACTGTGTTAAAAAAAATGTCTTACCCTCTCAAGGTCTTCTAGAGGGTTCTCCTGGCCAAGATGTAAAAGGTTCCCAATAAGGGGTAGAGTCGGGGGTCCTGGTGGAAAATTCTTTGGTCTTTTAGATTTGAGATGGAATAAGAGGAATAAAATTGAGAGGAAAAAAAGAATTACAGAAGCAAACATGATGAGATGGTTAGCTCTGGTGGATTTTACTACATGTGGCTGAGCTCTGCTTTTAGTTGCGCCCCCATGTATATATTGGCCCAATCCCAAAACGCCCCCTTTGCTTAACTTAACCCTTAACTATCAATTGTTACTCTGAATGAAGTAACACTTGCAGCTGTGGAGTGCGCCTTGGTTGAAGGTGGGTGGACATAAATGAGACTGGGATGGCTTCTTCCCTCCAATGGAAAAGAAAGCATTAGTTTCTATGGTAACACAGTGACGCCCCATGTGTATGGCAGTAGCTCTGTTATGCAGGTTGACATGAAATGTTTTCACTTTTATTAAAAAATTGTATCCGGTCAAATAAAACCATTTCAAAGAGAACCTTCCTTTTAGGAAGTAATTACGTGTTTTTCCATTTTCCAAGGGACACCAAAACAGGTCGTTAGTGCTTTTTAACTCTTAAATTAGATGGAAAGTGTCTCATTAGTAAATATAGAAGAAGAGCAGCCTCTGCTGCCAACTGCTAGCATTACACTTGTTGTAAAAAGATCTGACTAAATATAGATGGTTCATCATCCAAAAGATGCTTCATTCCATTTTTCTTGAACACTTCCATGCAAATACCTATATACTTTTGTGTCTTATTTTAAATCTCTTATAATGCCCAAGTAAACCCATCAAAAATAAATAAATAAATGTGGGTTTTAGTGTTTCAAAAGGACTATGGTACATGGAGGTACAGATTGATGAACTCTAAAATGTCCAGTTAGATTACTTTAAGGTATTTAAAGAGAAACAAATCCCTGTATAATCACTGCTATGATGGAGTGCATTTTGTTATACATTTAATATCTTTATGGAAGAAGGAAAATGTAATCACCTTATTTTCATTTGAATTCGAGTGTAAAAAAAATCTGCAAAAGTTCAGGAAATAGACACTATTTTATTAAGAAACTAGGATAAACCTGTTTCTACTGATACCACAATGTGATCAGGAAACTTAGGTCACTGAAGGAACCTTTATTCCCAAACATGATCATCAAAGAATTCCAAAGTGTTCCTTCATAGAAAACCCAAAGTCAATTGAATGCATTATTGCAACACATACACACATTTACAAATCTCTGCTGTGTTATTACACTTATCCTGCCATTCTTTTTTATTTCTTTCTACCTTATGAATATAATTTATGATTAAATATGACTGTTGATCAGCTTCTTCTAGGTAACTTGAGATTTAATTGTTATGTTTTTTGCATGGCAAGCCTACAACCTTACAAATACATCTACAAACTTAATTTGGAGATCTGGTCTAAATACAAAAATGTTAAAAAATGCGGACTATCCTGTGGTTCCAATCTAGACTTGTTTTACTGTACAAGCCAAAACAAGAAATTTTATTTGTATAGTACAATTCTGTACATAGACAATTCAAGTGCTTTTGAGATGGGCCCGTAGTTTTGCAGTATCATTTTTTCCAAGCCTTTTAACAATGGTTTGATCATTTTATATGTGGGGATTACATTTTAGGCCTAGGGAGAAACACCCAACATAAGGGATGTGTTTATGGTTAGAATCAAATCAGATTCCAAAACAGGTAAAAGCTTCTTAATGAAACCTGTGGGTAAAACATCGGTACAACTTCTCTTTATGCTGATGAAGATTCTCAGTCATCCAGGTGATAGTCATTCTGTAAAAGTAAAAAAAACGATCCACTGGACTTGGTTTTCAAGGTTTGAAGACGTTTTGCTCCCTCTCCAGGAAGCTTTCTCAATTCAAATGTCTGGGTCGGCAGTGAGTTGAGGCTTTATATGGACAAGGACTTGTATTGCTTGGAAACATGCAAATTGAACCGATGAGCTGGTCGTTTGGTTCCATTGTTGGCCTGTAATACCTGTAACCTGTCTATGATTCTGAAGGTCGGTCATTAAAGGGGGGGATAGCCGTTAAAGGGGTGATTGCCTCTTGTAATACCTGAAACCTGTCTATGATTGTTGGTTGTTAACGGAAGGATTGTTCACCTTGCTGAAGAGTACTTTTGGTACTTTGTTTCTGTGTGATGGGGTGGGGGTGTGATGATACCTGGAAGGGATCAACTCTATAACTGGATTGTAGGTTTTAGGAAGCTGGAATCTGAGTCCATCACCTCTGTTTAAAGTTGGTCTTTCTCTCTTAACATAGATGGCTTCCTTCACGCCCCTCTCAAACCACCTACCTTCTTTATTCAAAATGTGAACATTCTGGCCCTTAAAAGAATGTCCTTTGTCCACAAGGTGTAGATGAACTGCAGAGTCTTGTCCAGAGGAGGCCGCTCTTCTGTGTTGGGCCATGCGTCTGTGGAGAGGTTGTTTGGTTTCTCCAATATAGAGATCAAAGCATTCCTCGCTGCGCTGAACAGCGTATACCACACCTCTCATATTCGGTCTGGGGGTTTTATCTTTAGGATGCACTAGCCTCTGTTTTAGGGTTTTGTTTGGTTTGAAATGTACTGGGATTTTGTGTTTACAGAAAATCCTGTTGAGTTTTTCAGAGACTCCAGCAACATACGGGATTGTGATGTTTCTGTGTTTAGTTTTCTACCCGCTACCTTCTGCTGCATGTCTTGGATTTCCTTGCTGATTTGATGAACGCCCAAATTGGGTATCCACAGTTTTGGAGGGCATCTCTGATGTGTTTCTGTTCTCTGTGCTTCCCTTTCTGTTTACTGAAACAGAAGGGAAGCAGAGGCTACTGTTACAATATAACAGTATATTTTTTATTCTATGCACCATGACCATATATCATTCACTATTAATTTCCATACATTGTGGTATTTTTCAAACAAAAAATGTCTTTTTAGTGGTACTTAGCCAAAATATATGAAGTAAAAAAAAAATATAATATTATAATAATTATATCAAGAAATGTCAGGTATTTTCTTCATTGACCAAAACTATGTTTGCAATGATATGAGTACTGATCATATCCTGAAATGTATTCTCTTTTAGATGAAAACAAATAAAATTCTATTCTAATGAGTAGAGCCAAAGAAAGACTGGATGTATGAAAATTCATTATGAATCCACAGTTAATCATAAAATTCTCCCAAAAAAGGTTTTGAAAACATGGAACACATAAGAAACACTATGATTGTTTGAAGAACTCCCTGCATGGTCATTTTTCACACCAAAAGGTTTGTTAGTTGTCACTTTGGTGGTAATAGCTGGGTGCTGTCTTAAAAATAAAATATTTCCAAGCTTTTTTATTATTATTGTTTTGTTTTGTTAATTTTTTTTTTAAGGATAAATAAATCAGGATTAACTCAGTATTTATTTAGCCTAATGTGTGTCTGTAAATAACACAGAAGCCAAACAACAAAGTCAGAAAGCTCACAGAGCTGATCATTAACCTTTAGAGGGTAAACACTAGTAAATGTTTAGCAATATATTTAGGTAACTTAGTTCCTCCTTCAATATGTTAAAAGATGTTCCACCACCAGCAGCAGCCATCAGCAGAGTCTGTGGGAATTTCCCTATTTTACCAAAATGAATATTTTTATATGTATAAAAATTGAGACCTAATTTATTTTCTAAAAAATTATCACTATGAAATATAATGGCCTCCATTTGTTTATACTGGATCCTGGACAGCTGAAAGAACGAGATCCCGGATACAAGCGGCTGAAATGAGTTCTCTCTGTAGTGTGTCTGGGCTCTCCCTTAGATATAGGGTGAGGAGCTCAGTTATGCGGGGAGGACTCAGGGTAGAGCCGCTGCTCCTCCACATCGACAGGAGCCAGTTGAGGTGGCTCGGGCATCTGATTTGGATGCCTCCTGGACGTCTTCCTGGTGAGGTGTTCCAGGCACGTCCCAGCGGGAGGAGGGGGAGTCCCAGGACACGCTGGAGGGACTATTGTTCTTGGCTGGCCTGGGAGCGCCTTGGGATTCCCCTGGAGGAGCTGCCCAAAGTGGCTGGGTAAATCCTGCTTTTGAAGTAGAGCTACAAACCAATTTACCAGAACTTTGAGCACTGCGCATATGCAAACAAGGAAGTTCATCTTGAGTCCGACACGTGGTTTCTGGCCGTAAAGTATGAGTAGGTAGATCGTATCAGAGCGACGGGCCATAGAGTAAATGAACAAGCACTGCAAGCTGTCAACTTTTAAACCCTGCAGTTTCATAGTACAGTTTGAGCTGTAGCAGAGTACAATGACTGAAAATATTGTACACTGTATGAGCTTTCGCCTTTTAGGGCTGATTTTCCAGCGATGCCAGAATTTTTTGGATTGGGCTCATTTCAGCCTCATTTTTTGTCCTACATCATGTAGTATACATGGGGTAACAAGGGGCGATTAGCCTCTCACGACCACTTCAGGAATCGTGAGGTTGGGAGAAAATCAATTATGTTTCAAAGTTAGTCGTCCATCCGAGCGAATCCTGCTGTTGAAGTCAATTTACCTGAACCTCTCGCACTGCCCATGTGCAAACAAGGGAATTCTTCTTATTATTCCAGATTGACGAGTCCGACCAGCAGCATCTTTTGGCACTGAGTCCGTACAAGTGATGAGTCAACTTTCAAACTACAGTTTGAGCTGTAACTGAATACAACGATTTCATATAGTGTATGGCTGCCTTTAAACGTCCCACATGCGCAGTTGAGGACATAATGAGTTCACAAATAGCAATCTTGCTCTGTGTTTACAGAAGTAAAAATGGATGGTGCTGGAGCACATCTTGCAATCTTTCTTTTCTTTTCCAACCAGAGTCAGCGCATCAACAATGTAATCTTTCCAAAAAAACAAAAAAAGACTGCTCTTTACATCATCATCTGCCATGGTTGTTTTTATTCCCTTTCTGTGATTTAGGACCACATATGCAAGTACCCTGGGTTGCATTTCAAAAAATCTGATCTTTATTGTTCAGACTGTCATGAAAAGATGAGATACAGGTCACATACGGGCAAAAAAGACATCGACATACCAAAGGTGTAACTTTGTGATAAAAGTTGGTGGGGACACTCTTAGGATAGTGGCTGATGGATATCTAC